GTACTTGAGAGAAGTCGGGAGGGTGGGGGGGTACATCAGCACAACTGAAATTTGGAGAAAACTGAAGTTTTGTTTTAAGTATTACAGCATTTTATTAGTTTTGTACTTTTTACATCAAAAAATTTCATCGCCCGCCTGGCTACAATTAAGTTGTTTAAACAAATGTGTTGCAACGGTAGAAAAATTTTTTGTGTCTGAAAACTGCAGGTACTGGAGGTACTTATAATTTTTTTACAAGGGGTACTTTATAAAAAAGGTTGAGAAACACTGAACTAGAACATGTCTTGGGTATACAGTGCCTGACACAACTGTACTACTGCAGAAATAATTTAATAACTCTGTGGGAGAGAGGGGGAAAGAACATTGTATATTTCCAGAACCCACCAGGATGTGCCATAGGAAAGTCTCTGATACAGTTAGACCCTTCTCCATTCCAGGCTTTTGGGAAAAAAACGCAGGTACATTTTATGAGCACATGGCTGCTAAATCCATTCACTGGGTTTGAATATCCTTTGACCTTAGAATGGTGAGAAGTTTTGGGTTCTTTGATGTGATAGACAGTCTCCTGCTGTATCTTTAAAATGAGTGATTGTGCCAGTCTCCTGAAGCCGAATAGTTCCTTGGAGAGACAAACTATATTTAAAGTGGAGTGCAAAACTACAAAGAGCCCATGTAGAAGCTGTTGCAAGCTCTATGTTTGGAGCTTTTGTTCTAGATCAAGAAACTATGGAAGACTCATCAAATATATATATATACAGTAAAACTCCAGTTGTCCGGCATCCAGTGGTCCGGCACTCCCAATAGTCCGGCACCAACTGGAACCCGGAAGTGCTCCGGCCAGCCGGACAATTGGAGCTGCTCTGCGCCGCTTCCTCAAGTCCGCCGCTGGTCAGTTTCAGCAGAGGCGGACTTGTGGAAGCGTGGGGCAGAACAGCTGGGGTGCTGCCGGGTTGGTCCCGCAGTGCCGCTCAGGTGAGGGGTGGCGCTGTGGGACCAACCTGGCAGCACCCCAGCTGCTCTGCCCCAGGGCTTCCCCAAATCCGCCACTGGTCAGTTTCAGCAGCGGCGGACTTGTGGAAGCGTGGGGCAGAACAGCTGGGGTGCTGCCGGGTTGGTCCCGCAGTGCCGCTCAGGTGAGGGGTGGCGCTGTGGGACCAACCTGGCAGCACCCCAGCTGCTCTGCCCCAGGGCTTCCCCAAATCCGCCACTGGTCAGTTTCAGCAGCGGCGGACTTGTGGAAGCGTGGGGCAGAACAGCTGGGGTGCTGCCGGGTTGGTTCCACAGTGCTGCGCCTCACCAGCACCTGGTTCGCCCCATGCTGTGCTGTTCCCTGCCCGACCCTCCCCCCCTGAACCAGCACAGCCCCCCCCCGACCCAGCACAGCCCCCCTGCCAGAGTACCTCCTGATAGTCTGGCATATCCAATAATCCGGCACCCCCTGGGTCCCAAAGGTGCCGAATTATCGGAAGTCTGCTGTACAGCTGAATCCTAGTCTTGTTTTGGGCAGAACTCTGGCTGAAGGACTAATGCCTATAGCATTTGGCCTATAGTCTACTATTAAATTTCAAGAAGAGAAGCTGGAAATGTTCCTCTTCTTGGATGTGGAAGTGAAAGCTTGAGGCACCTTCACCAAATGAAATTAGTAGAAAAACAGTGTATAGTGACAGTCTTTTTGATTTTACATTTGAAGACCTACTGAGCCCACATTCAAGAAAAAATATAGAATTTTTCCGCAGAAGCTTGAACTGTCTGTTTTCAAAGGCCCACAACTTGGTTTTAATTATTTTAAAACAGTGGCTCTCAAACTTTAGCAACCCAATGACCCCCATTTTGCTTTAAAATTTTTCATGGACCCCTGAGCTCCCTGCTCAGTCCTAGGCCTTGCCCCATCTTCCTTTCCCCGAGCCCCACCACTGCCCACTTACACTCCATGCTGCATCTCCTCTTTCTGCCCCCTCCCCTGAGTGCACCATGTCCCGCTTCCTCCCAGTGCTTCCTGCACACCTCTGAGCAGCAGCTGTTCCCTGGTTTGATACTGGAATTTAGTTCCACAAGAGACCTTACATCATGGAGGTGCCTTCTGGCCAGGGAGCTGATCCCATAGGAGAAAACAGGAGCCTGAGGCACAGTGGCAACTAAGGCAGGTGCATCGATTTAATGCTGACTCAAAACTTAGCTTAGATTTTTCCAATTGAGGGTGTGGGATGGAGTGGGATTCAGCATACATTTTTCATCCCTCCCCCCACTTCAATAGAAAATTCCCCAAACAGCTCTGGTTAAACTATTGTCAGGAAATAATGCGTTTCCTTGTCTGTTATTGCTTGTGGGCATGTACCTGTCATTCTTTTTGTCCCCAAAGCACAATGAATCGCTATTGGGCTGTGTAAATAACCATTGTATGCTAGCTCTCAACCTTTCTTTCATCCTCATTTTGCTCAATTCTTCCTTTGTAGTGTCTCTCATTCACCTGCTCATGCTAATGAGTGAGAATTTTAGAAGTATTGATTATTTTCCTACGCTGGTGCCAAGATCTGGGAAATGAGCTGTGAGTGGTGCATTTTTACCATCCTCTTTAGAATATCATTTGCTCCTCACTCTTCTTAGTCCAGCTATACGTCTCATTCCTGGTAGCGGTGCTGCACCGTTTCTTGGATAATGCGAACAGAAAGAATTAACTAATATTAACAACACAACACAGTAGAGAGCCAGACTTATCAAACACATCTCTTCCCATTTACAGTTGTGTGGTCCACCTCTCCTACCATTCAGAAGCATGCAGCACTTTTTTTCCTTTTCACTTGTGTGTGGCCCCTGACTGATTTTTCTATGGGTCAGTGGCACCTGACCTAAAAAGATTCCCCACTGCTGACCTACAGAAACTGTTGAATGCAAGTTGAACCAATCTAAACCTTTATTGCAGTTTAGCAGCTGTAAATAAAGAATAGTAGCTAGCACCATGTGATCAGCCAAATTTCTGTGAGCCTTTAGCAGTTGTCCTTCAGACCACCTGTCGTCCTCAGACCACAGTGTGGCAGTGCATCAGGGACCCCCCCGATTCTGTACCCCGTCTCCAGCAAGATGAGATTCCGCCAGCTAGTAGAATAGAGAGGGTTTATTGCTTCTCCAGGATACAGCACAGCATAGACGTGATGTGGACATAGGAAGTCAGGCTGGCAATCCTAAATTCCTTGGGGCAGGGGTGCTTAGGCCCCTCAACTCCCAGCACTCTTCTTAGTCTGTTCTTTTCATAGTTTTCCAGCCAAAAACTGCCCAGCTCCCAGGCCCTGTCCCCCAGCCAAGTGGCCGTCTCTGCCTCCCTTCCTTTGTGTCTCCTCCTGGGAAGAGACTTGTTATCTGCTCAGGCTGGGACTAGGTGTGTGGGCCAATACACATGTGGGTGAGTCAGTGGGAATCACACATCACAGCATGGGGGAACCCCAGGTTACAGAGCAGACAGCACTCCAATTACGTCACAACAGTTTGGGAGCAACCATGTTATTCCATCTTCTATTCAGGCCATTACAGCACTGAGCACTTTCCAAGTATGCCAGTGATGTGTCACATGTTGGTTCGCCCTTCTCTCTCTCTCCTTTCTCGGGGAAAGGTTTTCTTTATCGACTGCAGTACATTATGTTTATATTAGTGAAGGAAAACAAAGTTTAAAATATGCCCTTGGAGCAGAAGTGATGAGTTTTGGGGTACTTTTTAAATCTTGTGGGATTTGCACTCAGTCTTGACCCAACCCCTGAAAACACACTGTTCTACTGGACAGTATATCAATCTCACCTACCCTGGCACGGCAAGGTATATTTGAAACGTGTCTGTCCTAAGTGTTAAACATTGTTAGCTAATGGTGGTTTGAGTGGCTTGTTAAATCACGTTTTTCCCGACTAATACAAGTTATGAAAATAACTAAGTCAGCTGGAAATTTATCATGTTTAATCATCCTTCCTGGTTGCTCTATTTTCAGATTTTTTTTTTCTTCTGCAAAGATTATCAATGCCCACATGGTGTGAAGGTTGTTTTCAGATTAGCAAGGATAAAATTAGCAGAGACTTTTTTATAGATATCATGTGGCAAGTTGACTTGAACTTTAATAATTCTTAGCAAGGCTGCAATAAATGAGGTAAACTTTCAAGAAATGTTTCAGAATAAAAATTCCATGGCTCCTTCATCTTGGTCATCATTAGAGGCTGAACCTGGGACCTCCAGAACTATTTCATGAAGTACTATTGCTTGAGATAAGATAGAATACCCTGGCTGGCTGGGTAAGAGACTCCTAACTACTGTAGATCAGGCACAGAAGGAAGCTTATGTTATACACAGCACTGATGTTTTTCCAGTGACTCTACAACAAGTATGATATGAGATAATAGGCAAATAGGGGAATAAATGACAAACTTTTGTAATGCACCTCACTAAGGGCACGTCCATACTTACCAGAAGATTAATGCTCCAGAGGTTGATCTTCTGGCATTCAATTTAGTGGGACTAGCATAGACCCCCTAAAATGAACACTGAGGGCAGCTCCCACTGGTGTCCAGTACTCCTCCTTTTGCGAAGAATAAGGGAAACTGATGGGAGCATTTGCTCCTGTCGGCCTACTGCAGTGTTGATGCTGCCAAGGCTCAGCTTAAGATAAGCTGACTCCAGGAGAGGGGAGGGACTTGCTACCGTTGAATATTCCTGACAAATTATAATGTAATTGATTTTCACCCACATATTTTAATGCAAAAATGAGACTATTCAACAGATTGGATTGTTAAAGAATTAAGAACTTGATTTCCTGCCTCCCCTCCAGAGATGGTGAGCAACTGAAGTTGAGGGTGCTCTATATTTCTGTAAACCAGGTCTAAAGAGGCATATCGTACACAACTTTAAATATTTGTCGAGTATTGGATTCATTTCACATGTGAAGAGAAGACTCTGTCATTCAGTATCTGGCACAGGTGCTATATTCTGAACAATAATTTCTCCTCTTGTCCCCCAATCTTTTTCAGGTGGATCTGGAGCCAGAGGGAAAAGTGTTTGTGGTAATCACTCTTACAGGCAGTTTCACTGAAGGTGAGAGACGTATTTTGGCTTGTTTTCAAAGACATTTTTAAATCCATCATGGCTTAAATTTAAGCTGCCACTCGCTAACGTACTGTAAATATTGTGAATGATAGTATTCTTGGAACACACTGAAGATTTTATGAGTAATAAGGATAGTTTTGAAGAGACTGTTATCGACTGCTTATTCTGTCTACAAGTTGAAACTTAATCATTGTGATCTAGGATCAAGAGAGATGATTTGCACCTGATCTAGTTCATTTCTCCCAGGTTGTCCTTCAAAGTAATTGTTTCATTCACTTGAAATTTCCATGTGAGTACCTTTGACAGGGTGTGCCAAATATGTAAATTTATTCCTAATAATCTTCATTCCGTGATTTCACCCGTCTATTTCACAAGTGCTTCTGTTTTAAGAAGGACACTTATTACTGGACACAGAACCCTCTCAGTGCAAACATTGCCTGTAAAACACATTCTTCATTTGTTTTTTACCTTCTCATTTACTTTTACTTCCATGACTACTCCTGTTGTGAAATGGTTTTTAACTTCCCAGTTTGTTGTGATAACAATTAAGGCTTGGTCAGGTATTGATGTGAGCACAGGTGACTGCTTTGCAACTGAATGCAATGAAATCTGGAATGCCTTCTTGGAAAAGACTAACTTCTTTCCAGCACGTGGTATGCTTCAGTCCCATTGACTTTGGTAGGATGGAAATGTGAAGGATCTGGAGCTGATCTGGAATAATATTGTATGCAAGCTGATTGTGCAGAGTAAATGCTTGGCAATATTGGGTTATTGGGATGTTTTCCATATGCATGAAAGGGTTTAGTTTAGCAGGAGGGCTGTTTGGAAGGCAACAGAATAGCTCCAAATAAACAATCTCCTATTAAGAATGTTGGGCATTGATAGACAATGCTTGAGCTATTAGCTGGGAAAATTCTCCTTCCAGTTGCCAGCCAAGTTCCAAGACTTGTTTTTCCAGTGCTCAACAGGCTTGTAAACGGTCACCGTCCAAAGGCCGGGGCAGCTGTCTGCCACCATTCACAGGGAAGCAGACTAACACAGACACCTGGGTGAGGATGTGAACCCCTTAGAGTTTCCTAAACTAACAAGGGGAATGATTAGCTTTAGAGAAGACAAACATAGGTATGTGGCGGGGGTGAGGAGATGTGTTTAGTATCTGGAAAACACTCTTCCAGTGGTAGGACCTTGAGATGAATGCTGAGCTTAAAGTTGGTTGCATTGTTTTGGGAGCTTTGTGACTGTGCTCTTTGTAGGCCTCCAAGGGATGCCTCTTGTAGTGGTCAGGCATCACCAGAGGTGTTCTGAAAGGTCTCTTGCTCCATCAGTGATGATACCTGTTTTGCTGTGTGCCACCACAGCAGACTCTGAGAGCCCCCAAAGACCACAAAATCAGATAAGGATTGAAGGCATTATGCCAGGTTTATTGTAAACAAAGCAGTAATAGCTTCCTCTGATCAGATGTCTATGGGTAAGCTAAGAATTTGTGCCTGTGACAATGGATGTGACTCAGTGCCAGAGATGAGACGCTGTCCCCTCGGTGAGACAAAGACAATTATTTGGAGTCCATTTCTATATACAGGTACAAACAAGTTACACATCACTCCTGACATATCAGGTTGCCACATTCTGACATTACCTAGATACCGTGTACATGGGGGTTCAATCACTATTTATCATGCTGTCAGTTTAGACTCTGTCCCAAACCTGTGTAGGTATGTTCCTGTTATCTCTGGGAGGGGGAGGAGGGTGTTGGTTCTGAGATGTTTCTTCACCGGGTGTTCTGGTACAACCCCTCTGGAATGTGCTTATGGCCTATTCTTAGTACATCTTAGGTATGAGTGTTTCAGTGATATCTGCCTATTCTTGCCAACTTCTGTGAGCATGGACCTGCCTCTTGCTCACAGCTTCACTTTCCTTTATATTAGCAAAGTATTACACCAGGCCTGTGATATCTGGGCTTATGTTTCAGGCCCTCATCTTATAACATCTGGCTGCTGATCCTGGGTCCTATTCAGGTCCCATTCAAGTCAATGGAAGGATTCACATTAGCTTCATTGGGAGCTGGAGTAGGACTCGTAATTTTGCCAAAACTCTGTTATTCAGTATCTGGCACAGGAGCTATTCTTTATTCAAACTTTGCTTTTCTCCTCCTGTTCAAGCATTTCCACACAACAGTCTATTGATTTTGGTCCTGGTTTTGATTTGAAAATCCACATACTCTTTCTTGATGGTGTCATTTACATTTGGCTTTGTTCCACTGTCCCTGCTCACTAAATCATGTGTTATTCCAGACATTGGTGTAGGTCATGTGTGATGGTCTCTCATTTTGTTTATTATGCTTGATAAGTGTATGCCTTTAGCCAGTGCCGAAAGGGAATTCACTCCCAGGATTAGGAATGAGGTGGTAGCGTTGCCATTTTTTGCCAGAGAAGGGAAATTTAAACACAGAAGCTTTTCAGAACACATGCTGATGCTGCACATCACTAGGGTGGTCTGGTCCCATCTCATCCCTAGCTTCCCCCCACGTACTATGTGGGCTGTGCCAGGTAGTCCAGCCCATGCTAGGCGTGGAAGTTGCACAGAGCTTGCACCTTACTGTGAGTGGGCCTTAAAGGACTCACAGCCTGGCTTCTCCCGCAAATCAAGGATCCAGGCTGTGAGTCTTCCCCACTATTGATAATCTTCTCTTGGTGGATTTGGCATTAGTGAGGTATTTCGTTTCCTGCAGTGAAGTATTTATAAGCAAATTCATCTCTTCGTGACAAGTTGGGTACCCGTGGAAAATCATAGAGCTACGGCACAAGTAGCAGTACAGACTTCCATTTGTGCCACAGCATTGTCCCTTTGGTGTATTCCAACCTTTACCTGAAGAGACCATCTGTAGGGGTGCAGGAGATAGATTTGTCCTCCCCTCAGTTATTCATTGTTTATAGAGCTCCCAGGTGTCCAGGGAACATTTTTCAAAAGCATTTAAGCCTAATTTTCACATGTGACAAGACATTTAGAACCCTAAGACATATTTCGTGGGTCTGGCCCACGAAAGCTCATCATCTAATAAACCATCTTGTTAGTCTTTAAAGTGCTACATAGTCCTGTATTTTGTTTCAGCTACACCAGACTAACACGGCTACATTTCTATCACTAAGACATATTAACTTTCATTGAGACTTAGGAGCTTGCATAAATATTAAATATTGGACTTTGGGTCCAAACCACTTAGAAAATGTAACCTCCTATCAATCATTTCACTTCTGTGAGTCTGATAACAAGAGCACCAGAGCTGTGTACTACAGCGCAGATGTCTGCCTGCTAGGGAATTGTCAAGTCACAAGTGAGAGAAAAAAAACTTTCAGTCGGTGATTTAAAAATGAAAAGTTCCATATCCACATCACAGGCTTGCTTGATAGCCTTTTTAAGGAGTTGGGCCCAACCGTCACATGTGGCTTATCAGCTGCAAACCAGCTGCAGGAAGGCCTGCAGAGCATAAGCCTTCAAGCAACAGGCTAGTAAGATGAAAGGAGAAGGGAGGCTTGCCTAGGTACCAGCAAAATGGCTTACAGAGAGTAACTTGGTAGAGAATAGATGGGGTCTCTGCAGAAACCCCAGGTCAGAGGAGAGGATGTTGTTGAGATGTTGAATTTGTGTCAAATAGCTTTATTTTGAAGAAATAAAACTAAAGCCCTGAAGAAAAAGTGACTGTAATCCCGTGACTGGAGAATGTTTTTTGATATGTGAGCCAGTTGCAATACCATTGCTAGTCTCTGAGCTCAAATAGACACACGTTCATTTTCTGCATTCCATAAAAATTCTCACCCCACATCCAGTCAATCACTCACACAGCCTTAACTCTGACCTCTTCTGTTTACATATAAAAATAGGACATAGTATGCTGACCAAAGCAAGCATGTCTATACCAGAAAATTGCCTCAGTTGAACTGAAATAAATTTTGAATTACTCTAGTTGATCTGGTGAAATTCACTAGTACAGGCAAGGTCTTATTCTGGTTGAGGTTGGAGTTAAGTTTTGCCAATGTTCTCTGGGATATATGTCTAAGCTGCGGTGAGCCTAAGAAACCTCAGTCTCAGTTTGAGAGGCCTGCTAAATAGGATTGCCAGGTGTCCAGTATTGACCTGGACAGTCCAGTATTTTCACCTCCTGTCCAGTAAAAAAAAATTCAGAAAATACCATACACCTAAAATGTCCGGTATTTTCTTGTCTTTTTCCCTGCCGGGAGGCGAAAATACCGGACACTTGGCAACCCTACGACACACTCAGCAACTGGTGCCCCCCCCCACCCCCGCTTACCTGGTTCCACAGGGGCTTGTCTTGTCACTAGAAAGAAAAACAAAATGGCCACTAGCAAAAAGCCTCTTCTTAAAGGGGACATGCTGATTTTTATTTTTTAATTTTTTTTGCTTAATAATTGCTGTTGTTATTGCTCAACAACTTTGATCTCCCCCTTTTTTTTTTCCCCTCAATAGAATTTTTTTCACAGTGTTTTTTTTTTGGGGGGGGGGGGGTATTTGGTATTTTTGGTTAAACCATATGGCAACTCTACTGCTAAAGTCTAAGGCCACAGGGGCCATGAATCCCTGGGGGCTCACACGAGAGAGAGAGCGAGGGAGGCTGCCTGCTTGGCCAGGTTTGGATGCAACTCTGAGTTAAGGATGAGGGAGAGGGAAGACCTGTGTCCAAAGTTGCCATGTAAAGTGTTGCTAGCAGCTCTTCTATGGAGATAGCTTTTCACTCTGGTAAATCTTTATAGCTAACTAGAAGGGAGCCCAGGCCAGCAGACCTTAACAGGTATGGGACTTTCACTGTCTAGTCTTGATTTCTTTGGAGCCTTGGACACAGCAAGGGGAGTTAGAAGGCACGGGATGTGAGTAAATAGGACAGAGAAGCCATGGTGTGAGACTGCCAAGAGCAATAGCAGGAGTGGGCAAGATCCAGCTCACAAGCCAAATCCAGCCTGGCAAGCTGTTTGATC